TGTGGTGGGCCAAACAAAACATGTGCAAAATGGTTGGGTGTTCATGCCCCCCCCCCCCTCCCCATCTCTTACTTATGTTCTCGACCGGAAATCGCCCACGGGCTCAATGCATTCGCTCATCGAGCATCTGATCTCGGCCATCGGCCAACACACACATGTAACGTCAGCTGAAGGCATGCTCGAGCTTCTTCTAAGCATCGGCTTCAAGTTTCTTATAGGGCTCCGGGTTTAGGGTTTAGGTTATATTATAGGGCTTGGGGTTTAATATAAGGGCCTAAATAATTACCCATACTATTTTGGGGTTCCTTATTGTTCTTATAGTATAATGGACCCCAAAACCCTATTCTAATTATTAAGTCCCTACATCAGAGCCATTTCAGTCGAAGAACTGAGGACTCTGCGGAGAAGAACGAGGACGCCTGGATTGCCGTGAAAAAGCGGATGTCCAAGGCCACCAGGGTGGGGATGACGGGTAAGACCTGCAGAGGACATGTGGGTAGTTCTCTAAATTAGGGTTCCTTTTAGGGTCCTTTTATAAGGATGCCGTACTATATTGGGGACCCAAAGAGGGACCCTAGTTTAGAGAACTATCCATGTGGATAGTCCTCCAAAATAGGGTCGCTTTTGGGGTCCTTTTTGTAAGGGTGCCGTAGTATACTTAGTTTTCCAATACCCAACCTTTAAACTTTTCGGGTTCTTTTGATGTAGTAGTAATCCGCAAGTTTAACCTTCTATTTCCCGGGCTTATTGGGGAAGTAAGCATTTGGTAGTTCTCTAAATTGGGGGTCCCTTTTGGGGTCCAGTTTTGTAGGGTGCCGTATTCCATTGGGGACCTAGAAAGGGACCCTAATTTAGAGAGCTTGCATCACCCATCCAGGCGGGGTGACGGCCAGGGAATTCTTGGGTTGAGCATTTAAGCGTGTTGCAACTTGCACCTGATCCCAGTAGCCCTCTTATTACCATTGCTACTGTTGTGGTTGTCCTTTCTGCAGACTAGTTCATAGTGCTGTTTCTGCTGTCAGTCTTGTGATGTTGTTTGCCATGGCCGTTCGCAATCTTCGTGTTTGCAACAGTGACCGCGGTTCCATTTGTCGATTCGTTACATAAAATCACAGCAGGAGTTGTGGCTTGATTGCTGTAAGTCTTGATCATGCTAATATACTCTTGTCATCCTTCTTTCAATACGAATATGACTGTTGGCATAAAGCTGAGCCGTGACCTCAACCCATTGCCTAGACCATGCCCCCTGAAACCCCCTTAAACCCTGAACCCTAAACCCCAGGCCTAGCAAACCTCACACGGAACCACCACCGTGTGGCTGAGATTTTCTTTTCGATAGAGGTTAGGTTTGCACTAGATTTTTTATGATGGCTTGCAAATTGTCCATAGCGGTTCTGTGAGGGTTTTTTGGTGGTAAGGTTTGGAAGGGTTGTATGAGGCTTCTAGCCAATATCTGCTATCGTTCCTTGATAGGGGATGTATGTCCAGGCAAAAGTGAGAAGGCCTTCAAGCTTCAGCCACCCTGGCAGCCGCCGCTTACGTTAGATCGTACACGCATCCGAGCATCTACACTCTAAGACTCTAAGCCCTAAACTGTCAAGCCATGTCTCTTCCGAGCCCTGAACCCTGGACTCTTTCAGAGACTAAGGGTCCCTGGATGATTGACCCTTTCCCCTTCTCAAAAAAATGCAAGAGTAGTTGCATTACTTTCCTCACAGGCGACCCTTCCCTTCCTTCACCCTTTAAAGGGCCCCATGAAGGATCCCTCGTAAAGGAGCCTATAAATTCCTGAACCCTAAACCCTGAAAATAACCCTTCAATTTCTAAAACCCCTACTGAACTCTTAACAAAAGCCCTTAAATGAACCCTGATGGGTTCCTTGAAGGTGACCATTGACGCCATCAAGCGGACGACGGCCGAGCTGCAGGATGTGCCGTGGTTTGCAGAGTCACTCCCGGTCAGTGTTAGGGTTTAGGGTTTAGGGCTCAGGGTTTGGGGCTTAGGGTTTAGGGTTTAGGGCTAGGGCTTAGGGTTTGGGGCTTAGGGTTTAGGGTTTAGAGCTTAGGGTTTAGGGCTGAAGGTTTAGGGCTCAATGTAGGGGCCTTACTAATGGCCAATACTACGTTTGATTGTGGGGGTCCTCATTGTAATTATAGTACAAAATCCCGAAAACCACACTCGAATAGGGCTTAGGGCCGTGGTGTGCTTTTTTCCATTTACAGAACTCGGAGGGTTGAAATACCAATATTACTCGTTGGTTTAGCCCTGCATGTATATGCATGTATATACTTTACTGGCACTTACACAATTTGGGGAATGGGGCTACGGCTGTATTGGACCCTAAACCTCGACCCGGGTTCCTTTTTCATGCTAAAGTACAGGTTTCGAGTATTGACCGTATAAGCCTCACCTCTCACAAAACATTCAGGCTGATAATTCGGCTTATGAAATCCTATCGCAACAGCTTATGCAGGCCTTGGTGCCGTGAGCCAACACTAACAGATCACCTTTGAAGCCTCAGTGGACCCTCAGCCTACAACTCAAGCTCTTGAGACCTAATAACCCTACAAACTCGACCCTTCCCTGAAATCCGCAGAGCCACCAACAGCCCGCATGGCCCAGCCCCTGAGCTCGACATCCTAAGTCCGAAGTCCTGTCTCGGCCTTGAATGTCTGCAAAACTCCAACAGAAGGGAACTTGTGGTCGCAGGGGAGGGGCGACTGCGAAGGTGTCATGTTGACAGTTACACTGTTCATCGAATCCTCTAGGGTACTGTTGCTCTTGCGGTTGATGCAGTCGTAATCTGCACGGATCATTGAACCCTCAGAATGCTACATGGAGTAATGAGTAGTAATGAGTAGTGTGTGTTGTTTTTGTCCGGCCTCCATGCCTTCTTGAGCTCTTCGACCAAACAGGTTAAAGAGTTGAGGGGGTTCCCAAACCCTTTAGATCCCGAAGCCCTAGCCTCCATATGCTCAGTGGCTGACACCCCTAAGCCCCCGAGCCCATCACCTGAACCCTAAACCCCGTCTCCACTGCGATGAGGCCCTGTACCTTCGCAACCCTGCGCAGATCCGGCAGCAAATCGCGGTGGCCATGGAGCAGAACAAGGCCCGAAAGTCTGAAACACCCTCTTCGGGAGTTGCAAAGGATCTGTAGGGATTTTATAGCAGATTTGCAGATCGCAGCGGGTTCTCGTGCCGTTAGTTTAGACTTGTGGGTTTTTTTCGACAGTTTGTTATGAAGTCTGCTCTCAGGGTTTTGGTAAGCTTTTCCCTCCACTAAGAACGCCCCTGGCTTCCCCTCGGCCCAATCTTCTGGTGCACTAGTTCTCAGCGAAACGACCATTGCAAGAAGCGGAGCGTCTGAGGTTGCCGACGATGTGCTTTGTGGTCGAGAGTTGCTCAGAAGTCTAGGCAGAAACAGCAACAATGAGTGGTGCTTGCTATGCGTGTTCTCAGTATCACCACCATATTCGATGCGTCCTCATTGTTGTTGCGACTGTCGCTAGCTCGTCGTGCTCGTCGCCGTCGCATAATCCTTGTGTGAGCTCCAGTGTGTGTGTGTGTGTGTGTGTGTGTGCGTGTGTCTATGTGCTTATATATATATATATGTACATATACACTCACACCAATGTAGATGACGTTCGTGCCGTACTGCAATCAATCACTTAGTTCTCCAATACCCAGCCTTTAAACTTGTCGGGTTCTTATAATTTAGTAGTAATCTGAAAGTTGAACCTTCTATTTCCTTGGCTTATTGGGGAAGTAAGATTAAACTGTATATATATATATATTAAATTTTTGAGAAGTATATATATATATGCACATATGTATACACACGCATACAGGCCTGCCTGCATGCATACATACATACAGGCAGGCATGCATGCATATGCAGTTTACATACATTCACGCATTTAGATACATACATACATGCACTGCTTCATACATTACTACATACACTAAAACATACATACTATATACAGTAATGCATACATTCTTACATATATCAGATTATCAACAACAACACATGTGTTAGAACATGCATTAACACAGACATCAATACATGAATACACACATTAACAGTACTACATATGATGTGTAGATATATACATTTATTCCTACATGAGTACGTACATGAATACATCCATTGATATAGACATTATTTCATACATTCGTTCGTACGTTCGTACATACATATGTACATATATATATATACATACCTATACATATGCATGTACATATACATATATATGTACATATACATGTACATATACATACATGCATACATACATACATACATACATACACACATACATACCTGCATACAGACATACATATACACACACACACATATATATATATACGTACAGGCATCCATGCATACGTCCATACATACATGAATTCATTCATTCATCCATCCATCCATGCATTCATTCGTTATTTCATTCATTCATTCAGTCATTCAGTCATTCATTCATTCACTCGTTATCCATTTCGTTCTTTCGGTAGTTAATTCATTCGTGCTTTCATACATACATTCGTACATACATTCATTCATGCGTTCGTCAGTCAGTCAGTCAGTCAGTCAGTCAGTCAGTCAGTCAGTCAGTCACGCATGCATACGTTCACGCATACCGACCGACACAGACAAACAGACCGACCGGCAGACAGTGGCAGACAGACAGACAGACCGACAAACCGACCGACCGACCGACAGACAGACAGATGTGGCAGTTTCCCAAAATAAGGGGTACCCTATTTTGGGGTCGTTATAGTACGGATCCTACTATTTCGGGTACTATATTAGGGCCCCCTATTTCGGAAACCCCCCATTTGTGCGTGTGTGCGTGTGATGTGGGAAGGCCCGGGAAGGTCCCAGCAGCAAAGCCATCCAGCAGGCCGAGGCGCCTTCGGGTTCAAGAGGGAGGTCTCTTTGGGGTGTTTGGGGGCTATGCTGAAGGCATTCAAGGTTGCGTGTGTGTTTGGGGGCTTGGTGTTTATGTTGAAGGATATTAAAGGTTGTGAGTGTGTGTGTGTGTGTATGTTGGGGTTTAGCGTTTATGGTTAATGGCTGTAAAGGTTTTGATTTGGTTGGGAGCCTTCCATGGCTACTGGCATCATTTTGTAGGGGTTTAGGTCTTGGGCACCGTTCCGGACAGCTGGATGTGACGTCGCTTGGCCGCGATCCTGATGCTGTAACAACGCAAAGATTTGTGAAAAGGCAATAGAGCAGCCGACACGTCTCTTCAGACACGCCAGTCAATGATTTAGATGCATCCTATCCCAACTGCCGAAAATCATGGGCCCAACCGCCCAAGCATTCTGGCCTGATTTTCTCGGCGTCTGTGCGCAGCTTCTCCGCCCGCGCTGTTGCACTGGTCGAATCCATTGTTCGTCCGACTGCTTTCACCAGAGTGACTCCTGATCCGACTGCAGGCGGAGTGCTCATCGTGGAACTCAAATGCTTGGCTCGAAGTTATCACTATGCCCCGGCTCTCGTCGGGGGCGCATTCTGGGTCCTAGTTCATCCTTTGCTGCATGTGCCGATTGCACAAAACCAGTAAAGCCTTCTAAACTGTGTGGCAGGACTACGCGCAGAAGCTGGAGGAGCACGAGAAGGCTTTGCTGCTGGCTGAGTGGGTTTAGGCTTTGCATATAAGATGTTTCGACTCAGGCCTATCAGTTTCCCAGTAGGGTTTTGGGTTCAGGGTTTAGGGTTTAGGGGTAACTGCTTCGAGTCTAAAAATTGGGGAGTCAGCAGGGCATTCGGCACCCTGAGGCACAAACCATCATGAACTGTACGCCCTGATGCCTTCCAGGGGTGCCACAACGGGGCTACGACATTTAGGCAAACAATTACCAGTCCTATTTTGGGGCTAGAGTCATGGTCATGGTAGTATATACCTCGAAAATCCCCTTATTCTGATCATTAGGTTTTGGCCGACACTGTGACTCAGGGAGGTCAAGGGTCGAACCTCCCTGCAGCCTGGATTCTCAGGCTCTCCCAAAACAGGACCCCCAAAGACTGGGGAGAGAACACACCCCAGGCACCCAGTTACGTTTTTGGGTAGTTCTCTAAATTAGGATCCCGTTTAGGGTCATTTTTAAAGAGTGCCGCATTGCTTAGGGAACTCAAACAACGGACCCCCGCCCTGTCTTAAAGCAAAAGACCAGAAGCAGGCTCAGGAAGCGCAGAGAGACCAGGAGGAGGCCGGATGTCGGAGCAGTTGTCGAAGTTTTGATCCAGTCGAGATGGTCCTTCCTTTAGCCCAGACCTTCCAGCACCCCTTAATAATAGAACATACCTCTAAGATGGAAGGATCCCCCTTCTGGGTTGTTCTTGCTATTTGGGAGCCAGAATGGGCTTTGCGTGCCGCAAGACTGTTATCTTGGATCTTGACCCCCGGGCTCCCTTGGCTTGGACTAGCCATGGCGCGTTCCACTGCGCTCCTTGCTGCATTGTGCGCGAGCTTCTTGCTCGCGGCTGGTTCCCTCAGTTTCGTCTCGGTGACCGCACCGCGCCACCACAAGTCGTTCACGCCATCTTCCGCTGAGGCGCCCGAGGATCGTACAGTGGTTCCCACTGGTGTGCCGGTCGCGATGGCGGTGTTGGCTGGGCTTGTCGTGGCTTTCACGGCGCCCCGGGCCGCGTTGGCCCAACCGGGTGGCCTTCCCGACTTCTCGGTTGTGAGGCCCGGGTACATGCAGGGGATTGATGCCGCAAATGCTGCGACGAAGCCGGGGGAGATTGATTCTAAGCTGATCTTCTGATGGTTTGGGTCCTTGGGTGTGCCTTTCTGTTGTATCCGAAGTTCGTCTGTTGTGGTCTCATCAAGTTCCGGGCAGAGCTCAGGACTTCGTCACCCGCTCCCGCATCGAGGCCGCCCAGTTTCCGCAGGCAATCAAAGAGCTCCAGAAGGAGAAGGCCCAGGAACCCTAAACCCTGAACCCTGTAAGCCCTAAACCCTGTAAATCCTAAACCCTGTAAACCCTAAACCCTGTAAACCCTAAACCCCATAAACCCTACAAGCCCTAAACCCTGAAAAGGCGACCATCGAGAAGAATGCCCCGACCAAGGCCGAGCGTCTGGAGAGGTACCGGCAGCAAGCCAAGGCCTACAGCGAGAGCGCCACCGTCGAGTAGAGACTCTCACGGTCACGCGGAGGACCAGACGTTTCCCTGCCCGTAAGATGGATCAGCGCTTCATGGAGCTGGGGGAGTTCACGGCTGTAATACAGGGGCCTAAGGTTTAGATAGTTACCTATACTATCTAGGGTGGTCCGGATTATACTTATAGTATTATAATGGCCCCCAAAGCCCCATTATTCTAGTTCTTACGGCCCCGATCTTAGTTTCAAGCAGTTTCAGGGCAGTTTCAATTGCTCAGGCACAAGGGACCTGAGGCACTCTGCATGGCCCTCTCACCCGGGAGCTAGAGACACCACCGGCAAAAGTGGAGTTCTAGGGCTCAGGGTCCGAGACCCGAAGTTAAGGGTACTAAAAAAAGGGCCTTTAGACTTAGAGCTGATTTTTTGGGGGGTCCTTATTATCATTAGAGTATACTATAGGTCCCAAAACCCTATTCCAAGAATTAGGGCCCCTATGCTAAGCCCTAAGCCCTAAACCCTCAGTACTTCAGGCGCTTCTAAGGGCCGCGTTCGGATTTTGGGCTTGCGGAGTTTTTAAACCCTAAGCCGAAAGTTTGGACTCGGGAGGCCGAACTGCGACAGGAAGCGGAGGAGCTCGACCTGGAAGAGGTCAGCTTGAAAAGGGATAGGGTTTAGGGTCTATAGGGTCTATAGGTTCTGTAGGGTTTCTAGGGTTTTGAATGCCGGGATTTAGGATGTTATAGGGTTCAGGGTTTAGCCTAGAGTTTCGTTTTAAGAGGGTTTTTGGGTCAGGGTAGAAGTTTGGAACCCTGATTTGAACGAGAACGCTTTGCCCCAAACTTGTTCAGAGTTTCAGTGCTGATCTTCACCACACCCTAAACCCTAAACCCCGGGTTCAAAAAAAGGCCCCGAAAGAGGGCTTCGCCTTTCTGGTTCAGGCTTTAGAAGTTTCGGGGCTTCAGGATTTTATCGGATTCCGGTGACGGGAGTTGAGGGTCGAGCCTTTTGAAGTTTGAGGAGAGGGGTTTAGAGCTTCAGGGTTTAGGGTTTCGGATTTTAGGGTTTTGGGTTTTTGGGCTTAGGGATGCAAGTTTGGGAGCAAAGACGAAAGACCCGAACACCTGCCCAACAGCCGTACTCCCGAAGCCACGGGGTTTGAAAGCCTTGCCGTCGATCCACCCAACAGGAACACTCCAAGGCGCAATGCTAAATACCACTGCGTTGCTGCTTGTCACGATTCTACGTTACTCTAGCCTCTTCCATATGTTGATCCTCCGACTGTCCGCCCCTCCTGCCATTGGCGACGGCGCACAAACTTCGCTGAGGGCTTGACAACCGCCACACGGCAGAGAACGCGTACCTGGTAGATGTTCTGTCAAAGACTTTTCACAGCTCCCTCCGGAAGAAGGCGACGGCCCCCGTCGACAATGCCGAAGCCCCCACTGGGGCGCATAGAAGACTTTACAGAACAACCATAAATGTTTACACTCCGGGTGGTCTTGGTGGGCTGAGCGCAAGTGCAAGCGGTTTGGGAGAGCTGCGCACAGCAGCAGCCCATGACGTAACCGCATCGGAAACCGTGAACACCGACCAAAATCAAAAACAAGCAGGAAAAGCAAAACCTAAACCCTAAGCCCTCAAACTGTTCCGAAGTCTGGGCCGAGCCCCTCACCTGAAAGGCTCTGGCCCAGAGGCGCTCAGGCCGGGGCCAGGCGGGAGTGACTGCATATATGCAATTCCGCACCGTGGTTTTCTAGGTAGGGTTGAGGGTTTAGGTTTCGGTATAAAGCGGAATTCGATGATTTTGGCCGCATTGCATCAAGAAGTTGACCGGTCTGGTGAGGGTCAAGAGATTTTCGGGTTTGGGGTTCTGGCTCGGGTCTGTTTGGGCTTCGACTGTACGTCTTTAGCTTCGCCCTAGTATCGGTATAGAATAATGCCCAAGACCCTATTCAGATTTTGAAGAGCCCTTCACTAAGTTCTGGTTAGGCGCTTGATGATATTTCGAGGGAAAAAGTCCGGCCGCCCGATCTGGTGCGGGCTGATGCACAGAGAAGCAGTGCCGCATGGAAAGCGTGTCTTGTAGTAAAACCAGTACATAGGGGGGCAGTAGCAGCAGTAGAAGTTGAAGTCCTAGTCGTAGACGTATCAGCAGCAGCAGCAGCAGCAGCAGCAGCAGTAGTAGTAGCAGCAGGAGCAGTAGCAGTAGTAGTAGTAGTAGTAGTAGTAGTAGTAATAGTAGTAGTAAAGTAGTAGAAATAGTGAGTGTAGTAGTAGTAGTAGTAGTAGTAGTAGTCGTAGTAGTCGTAGTAGT